TTTACCGGATTTGCGTATAGTTGACGGGTTTTCTTTTGTAAACTCCGGTTTCTTTTCATCATTCTCCTTCTCATCTTCCTTGTCCTCTTTATCCTCCTTATTCATCTCCTTCTCCTTTGAAACTTCACACTCCTCCTCCTTTTCCTGGAGGAAGAAAAAAATGTTTAATCTACAGAGTGAGTAAAAAACACGGAATTATCGATGTTTTAGACAAAATGCCGTAAAAATTTCGAGTGGAAATCTTCAGTAAATGTTATCAAATTGTAACCTTATAACTGACGTTATGAATAATTGGCTTACATATTTTGTTTTAACTTTTGTAAGTCTTAATGATTTATGAAATTTTTAAAAACATTTACCAAAATTTTTATTTTTTAAATTTCCTTTTTAAAAATAATTGATTTTGCAGATTTTTTTTCAGCTATCCGAAAACAAAAATGTTGTCCATCACGTCGATAATCCCGGGATTTTAAACTCACCATGTACATTCTTTATGAATTGTGATGTCAAGTAACACTGTATTGATTGATTGATTTTAAGTGTTACATGTCTGTTTCAGCAGAAACGACGAGGAATATGTTTTTTTTTCTTCACAAATCAGAAAATATGTGATGTTCAATTCCGGTTTATCGATAGAGTACAATGCGGATTATGCAGCAACAGACATGTGTATCAATTTTTTAAGGAAGTGAACTGGGCATAGGACTCCTGAATTTACGGAGAGTTTATTTAACCTTTTTCGATTGAAGCTTATTCAATTCAATTTAGCACTATACAATAGACCAAAGATTTCATTTGCTCCAAAACTACCTGCACTTGCAATTCTCGGTCAAGTAATAAGCCAGGGCCGGACAAATTTAACTTTGACCCTCTATGCAAAGATGACAATGCCAGATTAACAACAATACCCTTGAAACCTTAATTAACATAATTCATGTGAATCGATAAGTGCTTAATTCTGTTAGTTTCTCCATTGTTTCTTACTTACAAGAAATGCGCAGTAACTTTGGCATAGAAACCGTAATTTAAAGAAATAAAAACATTAATATCTAATTCAAAATTGATCAGACAAAGCTTTCAAGGGTATTGTTGTAAATCGGGCATTGCCACTTTATAATGGAGGGTCACTTGAAATTACGCTTACAGTCCCTTTAAGTTGTAAATTTACAAACACTAACCTCGGTCTTTTGTTTCTTTGGCGCAGGGCCGTCATCAGCTTCATTACTTCCGGTTTCTCCAGCTAGTTCCGTTCCGTTAGCAGTGGTTTCTTCGGCTTTAGGCGGTGCACACTTTTCAGTCGCATTTTCGGTTGAAACGACTTCACCATTGGATGCTGTGTCTTCCACCTTAACGAAACATATTTTTAACTTGAAAAAAAAACGTCGTTGCCCGGGGAATTTTAACAATTGTCTAAATCAACAATGCTAAGACTTGTATGTCTAATGGGGGTTAATTGAACCTCCTGCTACCCTCCTATAAATTTAAGGTTAATTCCTAGAGAAGAATTTTTAAAATTTAAAAGTACNCTCTAGGATATTACCTCACATTCTACTGCAAAAATGTTAAACTCACAACAACTAAAAGTTAATAGATCCTAATAGGACCTCATTAAAAAACCTTGCTTACTCATATTATCCCCCCCCCCTTAATATTGTAAAGCGGTTTACTTATAACTTTAGTTATAATGATACTTAAACCTTAGTCTCAGAATTCTGTTTAATTTCGTCAGACATTATATCTGAAATGAAAAAAAATGATCAAATCTATTTCCTTTGAATAAAGTAATTTTATTTTAAGATCATAAGTTTGCAACAGGGTTCAATAAAGACGTCAATATTGAAAAAGAAAGTTGACAGAAAATATTTTCGGCGGAAATTTGTTTGGGTTTCAAGATTTTGAGTTTGCACAAATACCGCAGTTAATTCTCAAATTGTGCGCTCAATCAACTAATCAATTTGTTGGTGCATTTTTCGACCTACGCAAATCCGCTATACTCCACTTCTGACCTACGCCAAATCCGCTATACTACACATGCGACCTACTAGCACGTGGTTTTACAGCTGCTATTAGGATTTGTGGCCGCGACGCCCGGCCCGCTATAGCCTGCGCTCGGCCCCCTTATAGCCTGTTCATAGCCGCGGCGCTCGGCCCAGAAATTGTCTTAACCTAACCTAACCCTCAAATAATACAAAAATAAACAGCTGGCGTTGGTCCGATATTGCAGTAGGTCGGAAAATTAGTAAGTCAGAATTTTTCAGTATAGCTGGGATTTTGCCTATAGACGATATAACAACCGAAAAAATATCTAATTATGATTACAATTTGTAAAACGTTGTTCAAATACAAATGTATAGATTTCTTTAAATGGCCGCACTTCTATCTTTATATATATATTTTGCTTGTCTGGGTGTCTGTTTGTTCGTTTGTAACCGATAAACATCAAAATGGCTGAACCGATCGGGTTAAAATAATATTTGTGTGGGGTATACCTTGCACATGACCTCCTCAAAAGAACGAATAAAATGTTTTATCCTTTTCTTCCAGATAATGAGAACAATGTTAAACATCAAAAAAAAAACATTTTTCATCCCATCCATTATTATGCTTTTTTTATTTTCCATTTTTTAAAAGTTTTGTTCACATGATACTTTAAGTTTTAATTTAACTAAACTAAAACCCTGTCGTTCATTACGTAATTTAGGGCAGTTTTGACTTGTTTTCAAACTAAGTTATGATAGTTTTTAAAGTAAAATAATTCGATCGTTTTCAAAACGATTTTCTTTTGCTGGAAACACTACGAGTACAAATATTTTTATAGAATTATTCATATTCATTTAATCATTAATCAGTAATCTGATTCCCAATATAATGGCACCTGAATCTGAATAACAATTTGGGGAAGAAATGTAGCAAAAAGTGTGTAAACATGATATTCTGTGAAATTGCAGTACGCATGTACATTGTTAATAATTTAATGTTGTAAACTTTTATAATGACATTATTCATTGAAACTGCTTTTCAATGAATATTTAATTTGATTAGCTTAAATCATGCGACATCATTGAATTATGCATAAAACATGTGTTTAGATAGTTTACACTGCGTGATATACATTTTCTCTAATCATAATCTATAATCTAAAACTATTTTTAACTCTGTTATTTCGGTTCATTGTGACAAAATAATCATGAGCACAGAAAATTTGTAAAAATTTACATGAAGAATATATTTACTAAAAATAATCATTAAAACTACTATCCTTAGGAAAATCAACCTCAAGACGACTGCAGAGGTAAAAATAGGGGAAGATACACAATGTTAACTCCCCTTGGATACAACCCCTTGAGGAACACCATGATATACAGCTAAACTTTGAATATCTGTACCAAGAAGAACCCTTCCATGGAAGATGGAGTTTGATTGCCATGAAACTTTATTCTCTGGAAAAGTGTACTTCATCAAAATTACAGATAATTCTTAAATAAACACATTACGCAATTCATATCATGAACTTTAATCAGATTAGTTTAACCTTTTTAGATTCTATCAAGCCTTTGTAGGATTCTATTGAACCTTTTTCAAATTCTCTTGATCCTTGATCAGATTCTCTTGAACTTTGATCAGATTCTTTTGAACCTTGATCAGATTCTCTTGAACCTTTTTAAGATTAAGATAAACCTCTTATTCGAGTCAAATCAGGCTCGGTTGCTTTTGTAATTTTTTTTGAGAGAAGACTCTGAGTCATATTAATGTTGTGTTGAAGTTCTGAAATCTTAGAGAAAACTGGTAATTTCTGTGAAAACTCGTCAAATGAGTATTTTAAACACAAATCAGAAACCTAACTAATATGCCCTCTCATCTTTTATTAAGTGAATCTGTTTATATATCTAGATTATCCTGAAACCGTTGTAACTTTTTATAAAATATGTTTTTTTTTCGAAATAGTTTGCTAAAGACGACATTCTAAATATATTGCGAGGTTAATGATCCACTCAAGGATAAATGCACGGGAAAAGTAATTATGAATTGAAATCATTATACAGTGAAACCCTTAATAACGAATACATCGAAAGAATTCATCAAATGTCGTATTCTTCACTTTCTGATAATGGAATGTTGCAGATATTTAGTTTTTTAATTAAATGATTATATGGAGCTCTTTAAAACTGTTCCCGCATATTCACGGCAATTTATTTATTTTCGCAAATACTGAAATTTACGTAATATACTATAAAACTCATTGAAAAATTGCCAAGACGACATTTGATAAATTCTTCCGATGCATTCGTTATTAAGGGTTTCACTGTAAATCAATGCAAAATTTTGCGAAAAAAATAATTATGGATTAACACAAAATATAAATATAAATTTAAGGATGACTAGGCCAGGAGACATCAGACAATTTATAGATTTACTTGAAAATACTTTCTCGACCATAAAGATCTTTCTTCTTAAAACACAAAATAAAATCTACTACAGGAAGAACCAAAATAATTTGGAAACTTAAAAAAATAGCTAGTGAAATCAAATTCTCTTCATCAATCAGTTCTAAAACTAAAGGAAGAGAAATTATTTATATGAAATAATAAAACTTCAAATATTGAGCTATTAGAGCAGAGAATTCCAAAAGTTCTTTTCAGCAATTAATTTTTGCAGCTATAAAACTCATGGTTTCACAAAATGTTTGCATTTCCGCTTCATTTATAAATTAAATTTTACGAGTTTGTTTCGCGTTTTGTTCATGGGAAACCNCAGTAATTAATTTTTGCAGCTATAAAACTCATGGTTTCACAAAATGTTTGCATTTCCGCTTCATTTATAAATTAAATTTTACGAGTTTGTTTCGCGTTTTGTTCATGGGAAACCGTATTTTACTCACTTCATCCAGAAAATCATAATCTACGTGCAATAAAGTAATCATTGTGCTGTAAAGTTAAGTTATGTGTGCTATAAAGTTTTGATTGGTTCCCGGATTTTTTACAAAAATTTTGGATATTTCCGAAAGATTTGAAATGAAAATAAAATTGAGATTGCAACTTTATATTTTGACAAGTACACAAAATTACCTACAGGGTGTCCCAAAAAACATGGGAATTCAGTGACGATTTTGATATCGTCTTTTTAAATAATTCTTTGATTTAGTATAGTAATACCTAATGAGAAAGCTGTAATCTGTAAAAGTTTCGTCTGCTATGTTTACAATTTGTTTGTTTATGTTTTGACTGCATACGGTTGTACTTAGTTAAACAAGAAAAGTGCAGTATACAAACAGAGTAAACTTGTCCGGCTTCACTGTTCATCGTGCGGAGCCATTATAGACAAATCTTTACAGTCTTTCACCGTTTTCATAAAATAAACTCTAGGAGACATAATAATATTATTGCTTTTGAAATTAGGTATTATAATGCTAATTCATAACAAAGACGATATCGAATTCGTCACTGAATTCCCATGTTTTTTGGGACACCCTGTATAACACTGCAGTAAATTCCTATTCCGAAATAAAATACATACTTTTTTTTGGTAGTGTTTCTTATTTTGTACAATAAATGCAACCATATTATGTTAATGTGTTAATTGTTATGTTTTGCTTTAAATAAAAAAATGCAGTACTTTACAACTAAAAATTAATTGTGTAATTTTAAAAAGTTGAGAAAAAATGTTACATTTTCTTCCAATTTAACATTCTAAATCTTTTAGTTTTGCCAAACAATATTTCAGCAATTACTAGTATTAGTTAAAACTATTTGTAAAAGAAATGTAAGCAATGTTAAAAGGTGAAAATTTATTTTTTACCGGCTTAGCATTATTTACATAAAAATGTATTCTTTGAAGTTCATTCTTCAAAAAAAAATATAAAGATAGTTATTTCAATCTTTGATTTTAACACTGTGTGTACTTTATTACTCTTTATCCAAAGGAATTGAGTTTTTGCCACACAATCAAATTTTCAAATCCATATAATCTTTGCAAGCAGATGGTGTAAACCGATGATATTTCAAACTTAGACTATTTGATCTATTTGATCAAAGGTATACGATATCGGGTTGCTTAGATAAAGAGGGGAAACTTATAGAGTTTGTGGCAAAAACTCATTTCCTTTCCTCCCAATTCTAAATATTAACCATCTACTTTCCAACATTGATCAAACACCCTTTAAGAATGTAGTAATAAAAAGTAAAAGATACTAAAGTTACTGTACTGCTTGCCCTAGCTAGTTAAAATTCGGCCTGGTACATGAACTGAAGTGGAATGGCTATGATTGTGTTTATAAACTATTGAAATATATTCTAACATTCTCCATATACATTTGTAACAAATGCTTTACTCCGATTTTGCTTTAAGTCTATTTCAATCCAGATACAACCCTCTTTATTCTCAAGTTGTATCAATCCAGATAAAACCCTCTGTATTCTCAAGTATGTATCAATCCAGATACAACTCTCTTTATTCTCAAGTATGTATCAATCCAGATACAACTCTCTTTATTCTCAAGTATGTATCAATTCAGAAACAACTATCTTCATTCTCAAGTTAGCATCAATCCAGATACAACTCTCTTTATTCTCAAGTATGTATCAATCCAGATACAACTCTCTCTTTATTCTCAAGTTGGTATCAATCCAGATACAACTCTCTTTATTTTTAAGTATGTATCAATCCAGATACAACTCTCTCTGTATTCTTTATTATAGTAACAATATAACATTGATTAGAACAATTTTTATAGTGATTTCATATAATTACTTACACGAGTGTCAACTATTAAGAATTGAAATCAAAGTATGTCTACATCAGTGTCCAT